AGTGCCCCCTCCCTCTGGCCATCGCCGCCCTGCTGTCCGTGTCCCTGGGTTATGCGTGTATATCCTCTGGCCAATCCCTTCACCTTCTTCCACCCAGTCCCTCCCCGACCCCGACAGCTGGCAATCTGTCCCATGTGTCTATGCCTCGGGTTCTTCCTGTCGGTTTCAAGTCAATCAACAAACAGTCTCGGGACACCTGTCAGGTAGATACGCGCGTTTGGTTTTGGTTGTGCTCTTCTTCCCAGGAACTCAGTGAAGGGAAACAGAAATCTCCATTTTGGGGAAATTACACCGGGGAAAAGGGCAGGGATGGTTACAACACCGCGTTGCGACACCCAGCAGGGCTGACCGTGACAACAGCAAGGGTTTCTGTTTTTGGAAATGGCATTTCCGTTTCTGATAGTGGGACAGGGCGGCAACTGCTGGTTCGGGTGACTACCTTCTTTATAAGCAGCTCCTCGGGCCCAGAATGGCAGTCCCTGCCGCCCGCCGTCCCTCAGCATGGGAATCCGCAGGTGCCCCCTCAGTCACCTGATCCCCCTCCTCCTCTTCCTGTTCCCTGCAGAGACTGCCTGCCGGCCCTCGGGGAAGAGGCCCTACGAGATGCAAGTCTTCAGGTGAGGCTGGGGAGGAGGCCCCGCCGTCTAGCGGGGCGGGAGAGGGGTGCCCGTTACTGGGAAAGGGGGCTGCACGTGCCGGGCCTTCCGAGCTTCTATTTCAAAATGTCCCAGAGGTGCCAGCTTGGCTGGCTTTGGAGGCCTGGCTGACTTTCCCCGAGACCCTGGCAACCCAGCGAGTGACAGACACGTGCCGGGAGCCCAGCTGGGATTGGGGCTGTGTGCCCGGCAAAGAAGCAGAGAGGGCGCCAGGGGCCGCGTGGCCCCAAGTTCTAGATGGTGGTTAGCAGGGTCTGGGCTGACACAGTGGAGGATTGCATCCCGGGGCCTCAGTTTCCCCATCTGTCACAAGGGGTTTACTGTGACACCCCCCACCCCCCGCCTGCCTAACAGAGTGGTTGGGAAGCGAGCTGGACAGGAAGCTGACCCCTTCCAGGGACGGCTGCCCCTGCCAGGCCCAGAGCAGGTCCCTCGTGGGTGGCGAGCAGGCTCTGGGACAGACCCCCACTGTTACTACAAGGTCCGCTGTCCCTTGAAACTTCTAACAGTGCTTTGTGGTGGTCGCTGGTCTCAGATGACTCTTTAAGTTTACATTTAAATGAATACTTAATAAAATTAAATTAATAAAAGTAAAATAAAATTTAAAAATTAAGAACTTCAGTCGTACCGCATTTCAGGAGCTCAGGGGTCCTATGTGGCTGGTGGCTGGTGGCTACCACGTGGGACAGTGGACAGAGAATGTTGTGCCCCCAGAAAGTCCTACCCACCGGCAGGCGCCACTCTAGGGCTGAATCCAGACACTCATCCCGGGAACCTGAGGACTAGCAGCAGGGCGAGGAGTGGGCCTGTCTCCTGACCAGGGTCCACCGCAGGTGACCCCCTCATGCCGTGGGGGTGCTAAACTGCCACTCCCAGGCAGAAGGTTGCAGGCAGACTCAACGGATTCGGGGGCCACAGTCAGGGTAAGGCAGAGGCAAGAAGGCGCTGGGCATAGGGCCGGACACAGTGGTGTCCAGTACAGCAGGCCTTTCGCTTTTCAGAATCTGGGATGTCAACCAGAAGACCTTCTACCTGAGGAATAACCAGCTAGTTGCCGGATACTTGCAAGGACCAAATACTAAACTAGAAGGTGAGCGGCTGCCAGGAACGCTGAGGTGGTGCGGGCGCTGGGTCACTCTGCCTGGGGTCTGCAGTGTGTGGCTTCTGTGACACCCTGATCCCGCTGGGGAGGCCTGGTCACCGGAGGGCACATTTGAGGGCAGCCTCAGGAGGGCAGGGAGGGGGAGAGCCCAGGTGGGGGGCCTCCTCCTGCAGGCACAGTGGTCACAGTGGGCCACAGTCAGGGTAGGGCAGAGGCAAGATTGAGCCTTTCTTCCCTCCTGTGCGTTTAAACTCTGACTCCCTCCCAAAGTGAACACACCGCATGCAAGCTGGGCTATGTGCCTTACTCGTGGACACACATTCAGCAAGTTCTAAATAAGCCAGGTGAACACGGGCAGCCACCCTCAGTCTATTCCTCAGTTTTCCCTTTTGTAGGATGAGGGCAGACAGCTGACGTAGTGGGAGGGCTTCAGCACTGGCCTCCTGGGATGCTTTCCCCTCCTGTTGGCCACCTTGGCATCACCTCCATCTCCCCACCCTGCCCCCTCCCCTGTTCTCCCCACTCCTTACCAGGCAGGAGAGCAAGACCTGCCTTTCCAGTCCCTGTGTTGCTCTTAATAAACACCCCGAGGCAGAAAGACTTGGCTTTTACTGCTACGTGAGGCCCAGAGACACTGAGGGAGAGGCTGTTCCAAGCCACCAAGCCCTGGGGCTGCTCTCAGGGCCTCCTTTGCGATTTTCCTTGCCCTGAGCAGCATACCTGCTGAACTGGAGCGCAGGTATCTCCTAGTGGAAATCACGTGGACCAGAACCTCGGCGACTTGGTCCCTGAGCAGTAGTGAGGTCGTGGTTCTCGGTTTGATCTGCTTGCATGCAGACCCAAAAGATGGGACTTCACTGTCCTTATGACCTTGGGCTTAGTTAGGGAGCATCCGGGCTCTTCTCCATCTCTGCCTCCTCTTCTCTGCCACCTGACCTTGCCCTCTGCTCTTCTCCAGAGAAGATAGACGTGGTGCCCGTCAAGCTCGAGCCCCATGCTGTGCTCCTGGGGATCCATGGCGGGAAGCTGTGCCTGGCCTGTGTCAAGGTTGGAGATGAGATCAGGCTCCAGCTGGAGGTAAGGACCCGCCTCAGATAACAACCACCCCAAACACAGTGGCCAAATCAGCCACCGTGTGTTCTTTCTCATGGCTCTGTGGGCTGTCTGGGATCCACCGGGACTTCTGTTTCACATGGGGCGGTGGGGCTGTTCCTGCAGCTGCAGTCGGCAGGGAGTTTGGCTGGGGCATTGGATGGTCTCCCCTCCCCCAGGCTCTTTCCACGTGGTCACCCAGAGCTGGGGTTCAGCTTCAGCCTCTTCAAAGCATGGCTGCTGGCTTTCAAGAGGGATTATTCCTAAAGCACAGCACGTATTAAACGTCTGTTTTCATCACACTGCTAGCGTCCCCTTGGCCAAAGACCATCACGTGGCTGAGTCTCATCTCAATGGGGGAGGGGACTACACAGGGGTCGACACCTGGAGGAGGCTCATTTGGGGACCTCAATCTCTCTGTGCCACTCTCTTGTCCAAGGGTCTCTAACGTACTTAGACTTGGCCCTTCCACTAAAGCCCTGTCCAGGACCTCTCTCTCCCAGTCCTTGTCTACTCGGGCCTGTGGGTTGGCATCCCATCCGGGGCCCTGCATTCTTTGGCTCCATGCAGTGTTAATGAGCTGTCCTCAGAAGAGACGGCTTTGTCTCAGGAACTTGCTGGAACAAATCTTAACCCAAATGTGAACCTTAACCCACAGTGGCCGTAAGTGCAGCACCGTCACGTTGCTCCACGAGTGGGCAGGGCACTTTTTCTGAGAGTGACTGCCTGCTCTGTGCGGAGCAGGGATGACGTCAAATAGACAGAGATAGTGTGCCCACCTTCTGTGCTGCCCCCTCCCCAGAGGCACAGGCCCTCCCAAGGCCTGCGCCTCTGGGAGGCACAGAGCCCAGCCTCCCAAGGCCTGCGCCTCTGCTGATGTAGCCATGTGTTCATTAAACTTTCTGACTCCGGCAAGAGTGGCCAGATTTTTCCCAAGACAAGGTGTGACCATGGGGCATGTGGTCTCCTGCAGGCGTCTCCAAGTCAGCGTCTCTCTGGCACTCACTGTGGGCTGGCCGAGGGCCCCTTGTGCTGGGGTGGAAGGGTAGGTGTAGAGGAGCTCTCACCTGCTCATCTCTTGGCTTTCAGGAGGTTAACATCACTGACCTGAGCAAGACCAAGGAGGAGGAGAACAAGCGCTTCACCTTCATCCGCTCAGACAGCGGCCCCACCACCAGCTTTGAGTCGGTCGCCTGCCCTGGCTGGTTCCTCTGCACGGCGCTCGAGGCAGACCAACCCGTCAGCCTCACCAACACACCCAAGGAGGCCATGAGGGTCACCAAGTTCTACTTCCAGCAAGACTAGTGGTGCTGCCACCCCCTACGCCACTGCCAGCACATCGTGACTCCAGATGCCTCTCTATCTGTGCCCTTGGTCCCGGCTGTTGTGGCTCTGAGGAGCAGCCTTGGCAGGTGGACCCTCAGAAGGAACTACGGGAGCCCTGGTATCCGAACTCTGTCTCCAGCCCCCTCGGCTGACTCAGCCTTCATGCTGCCCCCAGAGTGGTCTTTCTAAAGTGCAACTTGAAGCACGGCACAGCTCAAAGGCCTTTCTCCAGTGTCACCTGTGCCTCCCGGATAGCACTGGGGCCACCTGGCCAGCCTGGACACACTCTGCTCTCCTCTCTCAGCTCCCCCTCCTGCATCATTGTCCATGCCCCAGGTCCCTGAAGCCACTCACCTCCTCCCACCAAGCGGCTCCCAAACCTTGTTTTGCAAACCTTGGGAGAACAGCACTTTTAGGGTCTGTGGCAAGATGAAAAATAAGGATTTCATGGCATTTTTTAAAAACCCACTTAATCAGTTTTAAAAAGAGTGCTTTATTTGGTGATATGTCCTTCCTGGAAGGGGGTTGGAGATCAAAACACTTCTGTGTTTGTGAAAAATTATGATGAAAGCAAGTCTCCTTTTTTATTTTTCTTTCTTATTTTTGTAATGCCCTAACCAGTAAAATGAGAAGTTAAGGTACCATGTGGGTCCCTAATTTTTTCTTCCGAAACATTCCTGTAAGTCTGGACCCCGCTGCCGGGGACCTGAGCATCACCTCCACTCCAGACCTCTCCCAGCTGCTGGCAGTGTCCCCCAGCACAGCTGGCCCTGTCCTCTCTCTACTCCAGAAGAGTGAATCACTCCTTGACCATTTCAGCACTTTCAGCATTGAGGCTTGTTTGAGATGTTGTGCATCTGGATGTTTGTCAAGACTGGTGACTCACATGTGTCTCAGGTCCTCGAAGGGCTGAGCTTGTGCCTGGCCCTTGTGTTGTATATGTCAAGTGGAAAGTTTCTTGTTCCCTGTGACTTAGGCTCTGTTTTACAATAAAACCTTGAAACCACATCTGCTTTGCTGGCTGTGTCCATGGCCCCCAGGCTCAGGTCAGAGAGTGCTGAGAAACGGGGAGGCCAAGGGCTCCCTCACCTGGAGCCAGGCCTAGCTGCTTCTCCTCTGAGTCTTTCCCTCTTTGCGCCTGGCTCTCCCTGGACACACAAGAGCAAGTCTCCTTGCAGGAAGGCGTGTAGCAGCATTGTCCACAATAGTCCCAAACCGGAAACAACCCAAACCCAAATCACAGGAGAGTGGATCCCATGTGTGTTCACAGAGTCCTGCTCAACAGCAAAGAAATGGATGAGCCACAGCCAGCAGCATGCCATGGCGAACAGTGCCCACGCTGTGGGTACAAGCATCACAGAGTGGAGAGCACGATTCCATTTACATAGAGTTCAAAACAGGCAAAACTGAGCAGTGTGCAGCGATGTCTAGACAGAAGTGCAGTAGAAACACGCTCTCCCTGAAAGCTGGTGGCTGTGACTGTGGGACACAGGGTCAGGCGGGGGGCTCCGGAGCTGGGAGGATCCAAGCAGCGTGCTACTGCTCGGCACAGGGGGGTCAGGCAGTTTTCTGTACGTGCATTGTATTTCAATTTTGAAATGCTCAACAAATTAAATCCTGTCCCCGGGATGTGAGGGAGGAGCTTCTGGGAAACAAGGGGATCAACAGGCAGAATGTTGCATTTGGCCCCAGGAGGTGGGTATGCCAGACCCTAAGAATGACAGCTCATCAGATGTCCCTTAGCTAATAGGTAGGCGAGCAGGGAGTGCTCTCCTGCCTCCAGCCTGGGGTCCGGGAGCCAGGCCCCAGCTGGGCCTCAAGACACTTGCTTGTTCCGGAAGAGCTGACTTAGGTTTGGGTTCCAAAGGGGGCTATTTGGGCCCCTCTCCCAGGTGCCTGGGAAGGAGCCCCACGAAGGGAGGCTGAGCAGCTGGGCTCCCCCCCGCCCCCCCCAGCTCTGCTCCCTGCTCACAAACCAGACTTCCTGCCCAGCTTTATCTTCAGAGGAGAGCTCATTGCTAAGAACGAACACATTCAGCAGGTTAAAAGGCTATCGATTAGAGATAAGCGTCACGATCATGTTTTGTGACGACAGTGAGATCAAGGAGGCTGCCCATCTCAGCTTCACTTCCTTATGTGTAACGTGGAATCAGCCACGCCTGCTCCTCGGGGACCACACAAGGATGAAACCAGACGATGGAGGCGAGATGCTGTGTGTGACAAAAGGGCCCATGAGGCTGATATGTTTTCAGTCCTCCTTTCAAGGCTGGACCGTAGCAACAGCAGTGAACACATGACCCTGTGCAGCCATTCTGCCCTTTCAGAGGCTTACGTGATGCGGTTAGTTCCAGGCAAGGTGGGGGAACAACCACGCCCATGAGTGAGCCCTGGGACTCTGGAGCCACCTCCTGTCCTCACATCTGCTCCTGGATGAGATAAGGTCTTGGAGCCTCAGTTTCCTCATTGCCAAATGCAGATAATCTATAGCTAATGCAAAGGGCTGTTACCTCATTTAATCTCTGCAATAACCTTCTGTGGTAGGTATGAACATTATTTTTACTAGTATTGATCCCAGAAGAGTCAGTGGATAGCAATCTGCTTTAGAGCCTTGCTGCTCAAAGTGTGGCCCACACAGCAGCAGTAGCATTTGAGAGTTAAAATGCCACACCCCAGACCTCACACCAGGTTCACTGACTTAGGATCTAATCTTAACCAGTCTCCAGGTGATTCTACATGGGTTAAAGCTTGAGCTCAGCTTTAAAGCGCAGCACCTCCCACCAGCTCACTGACGCCGTCCAGACCTCCCTCTTAACACCTCTTCACCCAGGCGCACAGCGTCCTTCAGGACAGGGAAAACTGTGAGTCATTGTCACCCTAGGACATCCACTCCACACATGCGGGGACTTTCATGTTTTCTTCTGTGATGCATTCAGGTACCCAGATCAGTGCTCGGTATGTCCTGGGTGCTCAGTAAATATTTGGTGAATAAATGAATTGGCCACTGATAAATCAATAGGAATTAATGTATTACCTGGGTGAGAAAACTTGAGAAGTCAGGGAACTTGAGCTAGCAGAGTTTCGAAAGAAGACTGGGAAAAGGGAAAGGCCCAGATGTAGGAGGTTTCCGGAGTTTGGGGCTTTCAAGGAACGAAATGCGAGTGTGAGGTGGCAGTGGCACACTCAAGCTTACTGGGTGATGCTCTGACAGGCTGCTTTGGGGGGACCCTCACAGTAGGAATCTGGCCACTTGGCGGTGGTTGCTGCTTAGAAGAGAGAAGGGCACGGAGCTGGGGAGGGGAATGGAAAGGGGGCTCATGTGTCTGGGTGATGCGCTCGGCAGCACAGTGGGAATTTCAGGACAAATGGCTCCAAAGGACAGCAGAGCTTGGGGTCTTTGTGGCCTGGGTTATCCATGGCTTGCAGATGTTGGACAGTTTCGTGGAATGCAAAGCAGGCAGGCTCGAACGGGCTACAAATCTGCCTGTTTGGGTGATGTTTAAAACAACTGGATGTGGACACATTTGAGTTTGGCATTGGGTAGACTACTGAGCCTGCTGTGAAGAAATCAGCCACCCAGGGCCGGCACGCAGAGGCCACCTCTTGCTCATTGGTGTGACTCAGGGCCTGGGACGTGGCCGGGGAATCCAGGCCTGGGCATCATGCTACAGTGGGGCTTCTGTACCATTGGGAGGAAGTGTGTGAGGGTGACAGGAGGTGGGGGTCTCAGGAGGAAGAGCACACAGAGGGAAGGTGGACAAGCATCTCAGAGGAATGCAGCCTTCCTGTCACTTCTAGGCCTGACTACACAATAAGGCCACAGAATCTCAGAACAGCCCAAACAGAAGTTCAAAACTGAATTCACAGCACTCCAATCTTCAAGGAGTTCAAGTCTAGTCAGGGCTTCCCCACTGACGAGCTAGGTGACCTTGGTCAGGCAACCTCCCCGTCTGGACCTCAACCTTCTCACTTACAAAGGAGGGGATTAGACTAGATATGTTCTCATTAGGCTCACCTGCAGAGTTTAGAAAATTATGCCAGTGCCCAACCCCTCACCTCCAGGACTGGTTTGTGGGTAGATGGGGGATGAAGCCAGGATGTCAGCATGCCAGGACCCACACCCCTGGACCAGATGGCTCTGGACTCACAGACCCTGAGGTCAAGTCCTCAGAGCTGCTCCTTCAGCGTGGACCCCTCCTGGAGCTTCTGCAAATGCAAAGGAGAGAGATGGCCCTTCACTGCATAGAAAGGCTCCCCCAAGTCACGGTGCATTCTGACTACCCTTTAATTTGGGTTGAAGGTAGAAGAAGGTTTTCCACTTTCTCAGTCACAGGGCTGATTAAGGCGTACTTTGAGCTTCACTTTTTTTCTTTTGGCATAAATTGTGCTATAATAGCAGGTGTTTAAGTTGTGGTAAAATTCTTGCAAATCTTGGGAAAACCAAATAATTTTGTGTTTTCCCTTCACGTAACTATGAAATCTCTAAGTCATAGTAGCAAATCTCAACATGCTTGATGATAAGCCCTGTGCTCAGAAAAGATTGCAGAGATAGGGAAAGACGTCTGTGGGTTCTTAGCCTCAAACTGGAAAAGCTTGAATAGGGGGATGGTCAGCTTCCAGAGGTATGTGGCCTCTGGGTCTCCTGCAGCGTCTGGTGTGTGTGTGTGTGGGGGGGGGGGG